AAGTAATTAGGTCTGTCTGGTTCACACATCTTGTTCAGCTGTATTCCTAACCTGACAGCGTAAAAATTCTATACATATGAGAGACTAATGATTATAACAAAACTCTTGCATTACATTCATTCAATTCATCAAGGTCATTGTATTGTTGTAGTGTTGGTTTCATCACATAATCCTGCCCCCAAAAGGAAGAGTTCTGTATTTTAGTTTTGCTTATCCCTGTTGACTCTACTTCAAGTCTGCAGATTGATATTTGCATATGGTTTTTATTTCCTCATCGGACCTCGCTGCTGTTTATTGAATATGATTGGTAGAAAATGAGATAAAAATGTAATCCCAAATTCTTGTGCAATTGACGTGTGTTCTCATTTGATTATGTTACATTTTAAGACTATTATATATATCTCAACACTTAAAGAATGCATTTGGTCATTTGGGATGGGTCGATTAGAGTGGTTTATATTAAAGTCAAAATGGTATATTACTGAAAGGTACTCGTCCCTCACAAAATCTTCAAACATTTTGAAATTCTATTAGAAGAGTACATGAATGTCTGATTATGAACCGTGTAGTATTACTGCCTTTTGTGAAAGATGCTGATAAAGAAAAACTGCCTTTTTGAAAGATGCCTGTGCGAATCGACAGAAAGGTAATTGATAGAAGCTAGATAAATCAGTGAATTTACGTTATTACTAAATTTCATGGGTCATATGATTCCCGAATATATAACCTATAAAACGTAAATTTATCTTGATAAAACTTATCGAAGTGAAATGCTATAATATTCCAAATCGTGGACTATTCCTGTAAATCCTTTTCACTCGCAACACGATCGGCCAAAAAAAAAATATGGAAGCGAAGAACGTGCTGATCTCGGTTTGATTGTCGTTGAATTGATGAAGAATCCTGAATATTGGATTTCTGGTTGATAAAAAATTATGATCTTCCACTGTATCTGAATCTCATCACTCTACCCGCTATTATCAAACTACTGGTAATTGAAGTATGCTTGAATTAGAAAAAAATTATTCTTTTTCTTGACCAAGAGATTTCGAACTAATAATGATCGATAGATTAAAACAACTTCATTCATTCGCTTCCAAATGGTTATTGTTCTTCTCATCTCAAGCCCGAAACCAGAACATAAGAGAAATCAACAATTTTTAAAAAAATATTATTATACTACCACGTCGTCCACCGACTTTTTCCTTAAAAAAAACCTTGCCACCTACTACAGTTTATTTATATTTTGAGGTTTTCCCTATATGTTGAATGAAGTTGAAATAGATCTTGTCAACCAGCACAAACAAGAAAGTATTTGCTTAAGTATTGAAGAAAAGGACATGCTTATCTGAGCTCTGCTTCTTATTGCACTAAGTCAACTCTATATCTCCAACCCCATCTTCCTTTCATCTGCCTCTTTTTACTTAAATACTTTCATTCTTTACTTGGTGTTTTAACTTTGCGTAGATTCTTCTCATTTGCCTATCCAACTGCACTTGCGATTTCCATGGCTAATGCGCTTCATATCGCTGCCATGTCTTGTGGTTTTCCATCCCTATCCACTCTTAGGTTACTTCAATATCCTTGAGTCGTTATTCTTCAGCATCGCTTGTTGCTAATGCTTTTATTGCCTTTGTAGAACCATGCATAAAGATAAACACGTTGAGCTGAAAAGAATGGCTGTGCCGATTAAGGCAAAGTCTAATAGCGATTTTGATGACTCGGGCGTTGATATTTCTTTGAGTCACAGAGTTGATGCAGTGAAGCCTTCCAAAACTCTGGCCATATGTGATCACGCCACTGCTCTTTCACAATCTGGAGTTCCTGTTATACGCTTATTTTTTGGAGAATCTGATTTTGACACTCCTGCTGTAATAGCCGAGGTGATTTCTCTGTAAATTTCACTCTCTTAAGTTGACAATATAAGTGTTTATTCTTCTTTGCATTTTGTCCCTTTTCTTTTTGTATGTGTTGTATATTCATGATCATGAGATGTATGCGAATGATAGGCTGGAATGAACGCAATTCGTGACGGTTATACCAGATATACCCCCAATGCTGGGACGTTAGAATTGCGCCAAGCAATATGTCACAAGCTAAAAGGTTACTTCAGAATTCAGATGATTTGCGTGTTTGTGTTTTTTATTTATGATTATATTATGTGAGGTTTGGAGTTTGATAACGTGACTGGACTGTTTCTGCAGAGGAGAATGGAATTATACATTCTCCTGATCAGATTGTGGTCAGTAATGGAGCCAAGCAAAGTATTGTTCAAGCAGTGCTTGCAGTTTGTTCCCCAGGAGACGAGGTTTGAAACAGCTTTCTACTTACTACAAGCATCTAGAATTGGTTATGCTACCGAGTTATGTTAAAGTCAAAGAAAATTGTCTAATCCATTTAAAATCTGGGAACAAAATTGAGTTAAACAGCTTATGAAACTTCAGAAGTGCTCTCCTTTTGAGGCTTTATTCTTATTGACATGGCTTCTTTTGTTCAAATTATTCTGCAACTAGACATTCATTTTCTTATTCTAGAATATTTTTATCTTCCATGTTGTATTTCTCCGTTTTTCAAACTCAATATGATTGTCATATATTCGAGGCCCCGCAAACCTTATTCTCACCATTATGCAAGTTAAAATTTAGTCCATATTGTGCACCTGTTTCCATTTATAAAATTGCTTCTATTGTGGTTTTAGAAGACTTAAATATATGTTATCCTTTTGCAAACTATGGAGGCTTTCATTTACGTTGTGTTGTGAAGAATGTTTCAGGTTATTATTCCAGCTCCATTCTATGTGAGTTACCCAGAAATGGCACGACTGGCTCATGCAACACCTCTGATTCTTCCAACCCACATACTGAATGATTTTCTTTTGGACCCCAAACTGCTAGAAGACAACCTTACAGAAAGATCCAGATTGCTTATTCTTTGTTCACCATGTAACCCAACAGGGTCTGTGTATCCTAAGAAATACTCGAAGAGATAGCCCAAATTGTAGCAAAGCACCCCAGGCTACTGGTGCAGACATACATCCATGATACTTGAATGTTTTCTCCTCAACTATAGCTCCTTACACACCTCTATGGCTGTTGTATTCAGGTTCTTTCTGATGAAAATTATGAACACATAATTTATGCACCGGCAACTCATACAAGCTTTGCATCTTTACCTGGAATGCGGGACAGAACTCTAACTGTTAATGGACTTTCCAAGGTTTTTCAGTGATGATACGTGCTCTTACTGATTGAGTGTAAATTCTAATTACTATAGATTTTCTTTTGAGCATGTTGTTGTCTGTGTTGTTCATCCCTTGTTTTCATTTTCTACTCGGTGCAAATTCTGTATTTCTTGTAAAGTTCGTAGATTATGACAACGTAGAAAGCTTCAGGTCTGAATTATGATGCTTTACAACTTTCTTCTTGTAGACATTTGCAATGACTGGTTGGCGGCTTGGGTATATTGCTGGTCCAAAACATTTTGTTGCAGCATGTGGAAAGATTCAAAGCCAGGCATGCTATATTTTTCATTTCCATTTGATGAATTATGTACAACCAAATATGAAACTTTTCTTGATTTCTTTTTGCTCCAAGACATCTAATGAATATTCAATGAGGAAATAAAAAAAAAATATTATGTTTTAATGAAATTGTACAGAACAATGAAATTTGCTGTTTAGTACTCTCAAATGATCCAAGTCAAAGTCCCTACTCTTCTGCCCTGTTCCCCTGTTTATCTTTTTTCCTTTTCTAACTAAGTATTGATACTCTAATATAGCTAACTGTTGGGGATATCTAACACATTTTATGGAGCACAGTTTACTTCAGGAGCAAGTAGTATATCTCAGAAAGCTGCAGTTGCTGCATTAGGATTAGGCTATGCAGGAGGAGAAGCTGTTTCTACCATGGTAAAAGCTTTCAGGGAAAGAAGGGATTTCTTGATTGAAAGCTTTAGAGACATGGATGGAGCGAGAATATGTGAACCACAGGTGTGAAAGGTGTTTGATTATCATGCTCCCTATTATTAGTTTCTCCTTTTCTTGAAAAAATGTACTATTCTTTTCACATTCAGGGTGGATTCTACGTATTCGTTGTTTTGAGCTCTTATTATGGAAGAGAAGCTGAAGGGTTCGGTTTAATCGAAAATTCTGACTCTCTCTGTCGCTATCTTCTGGAAAAGGGCCAGGTATTCTCATTCAATGGCCTTCAAGATTTTACTGATATATTAAGAGTATTAAGTTCAAACTTAAGAAACATAATAATGGCCTAAGTCATAACTTGATGTTTTGATGACTCATTACAGGTTGCTTTGGTTCCAGGGAGTGCATTTGGAGATGATTCTTGCATCCGCATCTCTTTTGCAGAATCCCTTTCTACTTTAAACACAGCAGTAGACAGAATTAAGAATGCACTCATCTCTCTAAGCTCTTAAAAATACATTCAGTTTTTCATTTATTTCTAAACAAAAGATTTACAGAAAGTTTGAGATTAATTTAGGAGAATAATGGGTCCGGGTTGATTCCTCCTAGAAATTACAAAGTGAAGTAATGAAGAATCTTGAATATTGATTTTCTGGGTGATGTAAAATTATTATCGTTGATCACAATCATTGTATCTGAATCTCATCTCTACCAGCCATTTTCTAACTAATCGCTCAAGTATACTTTTTTTTTCAAGTTATAAAACATTCTTTTTCCAGACATTATTTTGAAACAGCGTCACTCACTTCCAACTTAATTTTGTTCTTCTCTTAAGCCCAGAACGAGAACAATAAAAATCAACAATTTCTACACGTTCTAGTTTATTTTTATAGGAATAATATTTCAGTCTTATTAATAGATAGGATTATAAATGTTAGGATGGTCATATTTTAATACCCAACTAAAAAACACTTTCTTGAAAATCTAAAATAGTAATATTTTAATTTTTTTTAACTTAAACTTTTGATATATAGTACTATATTATTAAAATGAATTGTTAAGTGAAAGTAATTTTTAGAACATGTCAAACAATCATTTACATTACAAAACACTTATAAATAGGAAATTTTAAGGTTGTCGGTCTAGTTGGTGAAGTTGAAGTGTACATATTTGACCAACGCAAACAAAAAGCTGGTAGAAGTAGTAGAGGAAGATGTGAAGGAAAAGAGAAGTTACCCTTAGCTTTGCTTCTTAAGCACGCGCCAAAACTTCCACCAACTCCATCTTCACATCTTCCTCTACCCCCTTTCAACTTATATATAATGCACTTTCCTTCTTTTCTTAGAGTTTCAACGTTGCATTTGCATAGAGAGCTTCTTATCATTTTCCATGGCCAATGCACTACAAAACGCCGCCATCTCCACAATCACGTTTGGAGACCACTATTCCGTTTCTCGTTGCTTCTTTCCATCCCTATCCACACTTCCTTTCAGGTTACCTCAATTCTCTTCTCCCATTCCACTTCAGCATCACTTCAATGTCGTTGCTAATTAATAGTTTTATTGGCTTTGTAGAGCCATGCAGAAAAGAAATCACGTGGAGCTGAACAAAAGGGTGGTCGTGGTAAAGGCAAGAAATAAGAGTGATTTTGATGACGTAGAAGTTGATGTTTCTTTGAGCCACAGAGTTAATGCTGTGAAGCCTTCCAAAACTGTGGCAATAAGCGATCATGCCACTGCTCTGTTACAAGCTGGAGTTCCCGTTATTCGCTTAGCGGCTGGAGAACCTGACTTTGACACACCCATTGTTATAGCCGAGGCGAGTTTTTGTGTAAATTTCCATTTGTTTGTAAATGTTATCGATAAATGTGTTTGTTCTTCTTTCTTTTGTCCCTTTTATTTGTGTACTGTATCATGAATTCATGATCATGGCCTGACATGCATAACGATGATATAGGCTGGGATGAATGCAATTCGTGACGGTCACACTAGATATACACCTAATGCCGGAACCTTGGAATTACGCCAAGCAATATGTCACAAGCTAAAAGGTTACTTCAGAATTTAGATGCTTAACGAGTATATTTCTCATTATTATTATCATTATGCGAGATTAGCCGTTTGAAGTATGTTTCATGACTGTTTCTGTAGAGGAGAATGGAATTACATATACCCCAGATGAGATTTTGGTCAGTAATGGAGCGAAACAGAGTGTTGTTCAAGCAGTGCTTGCAGTTTGTTCCCCAGGAGATGAGGTATGAAATGAAACACCTTATGTACTCCACCATGAGCATCTACAATTTCTGAGTTTGAGTTTTGGTGAGTATTAACAGAATTGATTTTGGTTAAACACAAAGTCAGTAAGGTAGCCAAAATTAATTCGTTAACATGCAACAACGTGTTAACGTTTATCTAAAACCACATTAGCTGAATTTTTAAAGTGATTCTAGTTAACATGAAACCAAAGATGCACTTACGATATTTGTGGTTTTAGAAAACTAATAACACAGATGTTATTTATCCTTTTGTAAGCTGTGGAGGTTTTCTTTTACCTTCTTGTGCTGCGAATGTTTCAGGTTATCATTCCAGGTCCATTCTATGTGAGTTATCCAGAAATGGCAAGACTAGCAGATGCAAATCCTGTGATTATTCCAACCCACATATCTAATAACTTTCTTTTGGATCCGAAACTGCTTGAAGCCAACCTTACAGAGAGATCAAGACTACTTATTCTTTGTTCACCGTGTAATCCAACAGGATCTGTCTACTCTAAGAAATTACTTGAAGAGATAGCCCAAATTGTAGAAAAGCACCCCAGGCTTCTGGTATAAACAAGCACCCATTACGCTTGAATGTGTTTTCTCCTTTTCCTCAATGATAGTCCATTTCAAGATCTCTACGGCTGTTTTGCACAGGTTCTCTCTGATGAAATTTATGAACACATAATTTATGCACCTGCAACTCACACAAGCTTTGCATCTTTAACTGGAATGTGGGACAGAACACTAACAGTGAATGGGTTTTCCAAGGTTGGTCTATGATGATATATGCTCTTACGTATAAAGTATACAGTTTCTAATTGGTATAAATTTTCTGTCGTGCATGTTGATGCTTGTGTTCTTAATTGTTTTTTGTTTCTGCTCCATGCAAATGATGTATTTCTTAGAATGTCTGTAAATTATGATAAATGTAAAAGCCTCGGGTCTGAATTATAATGGTTTTCAACGGTTCTTGTAGACATTTGCCATGACTGGGTGGCGTCTTGGGTATATTGCTGGTCCAAAACACTTTGTTGCTGCCTGCGGAAAGATTCAAAGTCAGGTAGGCTGCATTTTCATTTCACTTTCTGTGAATTATGCACAACTCAAAATCAAACTTTCTTGATTTCCTTTTGCTAAAGAAATTGGGCTTGTGTTGCTATTTATGTTATACGTAACATATACTGCTTAGCTTTCTGAAATGATACACAACTGATATTTCTAACTATTCTACTCTGACCAACGCTTAACTAACTACTGAGATATGGATATCAAATATATTTTATTGAATACAGTTCACTTCGGGGGCAAGCAGTATATCTCAGAAAGCTGGTGTTGCTGCATTAGGACTAGGCTATGCAGGTGGAGAGGCTGTTTCCACCATGGTGAAATCCTTCAGGGAAAGAAGGGATTTCTTGGTTGAAAGCTTTTCAGAAATGGATGGTGTGAAAATATCTGAACCACAGGTGTGAACTTATCAGCATGTTGCTTGACCCTCCTTTTCCGGGTTTTAGCTCCTTCCTTTTATTAAAAACTTTTTCAATTTCAGGGGGCATTTTATCTGTTCATTGATTTCAGCTCTTATTATGGAAGAGAAGCCCAAGGGTTTGGCTTAATTGAGAATTCTGACTCCCTCTGTCGATACCTGCTGGAAAAGGGCCTGGTATACTCATTTAAATGACCTCTTAAGATTCTATACATATTTCATCAGCTGGAAAATTAAAAGTCATTTTCTCACACAAAACAAATATTATGACGGATAAAATTAATATATTATGACAAGAGACGTCGTACTTTTGGAAGTCATATAAGATAAGTATATTCTAGGATTAATAACTATTTTGTTTTCAGTTTCGTTCGATAATGTCAAATTAGTTCATCCTTTAAAACGTGTGTTAATTACTTTTTTAGTTAATAAAATTTATATCAATGAAATTCTTTCCGTTAAATCCGTACAAACGGCGTTAATTATTTCTCTCTCTTATTAACGCCGTTTGTACGGATTTAACGGAAGGAATTTCATTTATATAAATTTTATTAAGTAAGGACGTAATTGACGCAAGTTTTAAAAGATGGACTAATTTGACATTATCGAGCAAAACTGGAGATAAAATAGAGTATTAAGCCTATATTTTATGACATATCCAAAAAGTACGTTATAATAAACTTAATCTACTGTGACATGCTAGTTGAAAATTTAAGTATGAAAAATTACAACATTATGAAATATCTATTATTTTAAGGTTTTGGATAAAAAATGATATCAATTTTTTATATAAGTAAATTCAGATTTCATTAGTTTTTATGTCGATGAACTCCTTCTTTCGTAGACCCGGCGATACTTCTTTTATCACCTGTCATAACTACTATGACATATTTTTTTTATTGCTGTTTTGATTTACAACAGGTTGCACTGGTGCCGGGAAGTGCATTTGGAGATGATACTTGCATCCGCATTTCTTATGCAGAATCTCTTACTGTTTTAAAGACAGCAGTAGAGAGAATTAAGAAAGCGCTTATCCCTCTAAGCTCTGCTGCGCTTCTTTAATTACTATTATTTGTTCTATTTTTTATTTGCATAATGTTACGTTCTCTTACCATATTCTTTTGATATTTTGTAAGTTATTGTTAAATGAAAGACTGATTGTATATAATAAATATCTTGGAAAATATAAAATATGTTCAATTATTTTATGAAAATAATTGGTTTTGAGTGACTCCGGAGCTAAAATACGTACTACCCTCGTTTATGTTTAAACATTACAATTTGTGTAGTAGGGTTGGAAATCTAGCTTTTCATGTCATCCTTATAATGATCCGAGTCAAAGTTTTGCTTTAGAAAAATAAAATATGTAAATCAAAGGTAGTGATTCATGGGTTAAATATTTTTTTTCATTTGGTTTTTTTATATTAATTTTGGTTTTGGTTCTTATATTTTAAAAATTGATTAATTAGTTATCAAACTTAAAGAAGTGTGTACATTTAGTTATTTTACATATGAACTTTACAAATAATATCACATTATCTGAATTTAGTTTTTCTATTCATTTTTTCATAGTCACGGTGTGTTCACTTGGGGGAGAGGAACTGGGGGGAGTGAGTGGATGAATTTGATGGTGAATTAATTGTTGTTTGTTTGAGTGAATTTGGAAGTAAATGAGAGTGAATTTGGAAAAAGTTTATGAAAATTAGTGTAGGATTTGATTCATGTGAAAAATAAAAAAAATTTGTTTAATTGGTAGAAATGAAAGATTACCAAAATGTCCCTACTTATTAAAGTAATATAAAATGATAATGGTTAATGTTATATTTAATTGTAAAAATGTTTATAAAGACTAAAAAATTAACATTGATTTTAAACTTAATTTTAATATTGTACAAAAAATTTATTTTAGTAAAATGAATTTATTTTTAATTTTCATATTTTTAATAATTTAGTAAATTGAAATAATAATAATAATAATAATAATAATATTATTATTAATTGTATATAAGGGATAAAAAAGGAAAGTGATGTTTTTCTCCCGCAAATCTTCTCTCATTAGAGAGGGAGATGATTTTAAGCTCATCCCTCAAATCATTCCTTTCATTTCTTCTTGAATATGTGCAAGTGAACAACCAAAATCCCTGCACATCCATCTTTTCAAATCTCTTTAAACAATAAATCTGTGCTAGTGAACATAGCATTAAAGATTGTCACTAGATAATAATTTTTGCTATAAAAAAATGAATAAACTTAAATACTTTTAAAAAGGGGAGGATTAGATTAATCAATTTAAAGGTAAAAAAATTATCAAATGGTAGTTTGAAAAAAACAAAAAAACGTTCGTGACCAAAAACATTTTTCCTTGATATACTTTATATACACTTTGAGCACTCTAAAATAAAAGCTAAAATTTGATGCAAATAAATAAACAGATAATTGCAACAAATTCTTTGTAGGCTTTAGTATGTACCGGCCACCAACCTTGTCCGGATCAAAATTTCCGGAAACCTATATTTCCGCGTGGTGGGTTGCAGGAAGAAATTATATGTGGTGCAAAAGAAACAGTCCAAGAGAAAAGCCCATGGGTTACATCCTCTTACTCTCAATCACTTAAGTTTATAGGAAGGATAAATTACCAAGATGATGTCTCCTTCATAAATGATATTATTGAATTACACCACCTTCACAACAAGGTGGTGGATATTGAAAAGAAAAAAGGTAAAATTTTTTTATGTAAAAAAAAACTAAAAGAATGAATATTGTTCTTGAATTACATCTCACGTTAATTGAGATTTAAATCTCTCGTACTAACCAAAATCAAATTATATGTCACCGAATAAAACAAAATACTTTTGAAATTTACGAGCTAACAAGTATTTCGATTGCCACTTTAAGAAAATAAACTAATGGTGAAAGAGCAACGTGCTTGTTATTATATTATACATTTTTAAAAAGTAACTTGAAAATTTTGTTATTATAAAAGAATTATATAAGTTGTTAGCAAAAGCTATTTAAGAGAATCTCTAATATAAAAATCTGACTAGATCTTTATGGCAGGTGTTATTTTATTTTAAATGGATTTTATTATATCACTTTATTTGTCTAAGGCAATTCTTTTATGAATTTTAGAATGGTGAAAATGACTAACTGACCCGACTCACCACGGGTTGTCACTTAGTAAGCTAATTCAACCTGACTCATTTATTAGCAAGTCGAAAAAATTCGAATCTGATCCGACCCACCATCACGGGTTGGTGGATTAAATGGGTTGACTTATTGACTCACTTAATTAATTTTTTTTTCACTCTCTTCTTCTGATATTCTTATAACATGTTACTTTAATCGATGAAATTGAAACAGTAATAATTTGACCAATTGATATAAAAGAACATGAAACAAAAGAAATATATTGTTATATATATTCTAAGCTATCAAGCATAAAATTTTGCCAATTTAGTTTAATGAGACATACACAATCGTTTGACCAAGAAACTACATATAGCCGTTAACAAAAAATATATAACACAACATAAAACTGTCATGTGATAAGTATGAAAAATCCATGTTTTCAGACTTATTAATTAACTCAAAATTTGTATTTACTCATGAAATAATGTGTTTTCCTCGTTGAAAAGTTGTAATTAGAAGTAGAAAAGTGTGTAGTAAATTGTACAGGAATTTATACATCAAAGTGGAGTGCTATCAAATGTTTCTCACTAAGCCAACATTAAATCGTTAAGCTAAATAAAGTTTTATTCACTCAGCAACTCACTGAGCGAATAAAGGCTGAGCGAATAAAGGACAATTAAAGATATGTTGCAGTTGAATATTCGCTTAACGCATAAAGAGTTGTGCGCTTAGCGAATTAGTTATTTTTTCAATTGGCTTTTAAAGTCGGAAATAGACAAGAAACGAGAGAAGTTCACTTCAAGGCAAAGACTTGTTGCAAGGGATTGCTTCAAATGTGTACGTTCTAGACGACTAGGAGTAGTTAAATTTTCTTTCATTGGAATTGGATGTAATGAACTCACTCTTATGTAATTTTCCTGTTCAATATATCGTTATTCCTTCATATGCTCTTTCTTGAATTTACTATCATTGTATGAAAATATAATGTTATTTGAATGTCTTTGATTACTGGAAAGTAACTTTGAACATGAACATAGATAGAACACCTAAGTGATTTGAGATCTAGGGATAAACTCAATAACTTGATGTGATATATAAATTTAGAACTAGTTGCTAAGGGATTAGGACTAGTATGCCTTGATGTGAATGTTTGAATGAAATAATGATATATTGTACAAAGTTTTATCTTCATATGATTCATGAAACCCAATTCCAACGAAGTTTCTTTTAAATATAAATTCCTTGCACACCAACTGTTTGATAAAATACCAAAAAGAGTTTCTTGTGTTGTTTTGTGCATTTTGATGTCTAATTGAGTTATAAAAGGAAGAATTGTCATGTGTTGCACGAGTCCTTTGGGAGAAAGATACTCTGAACTTACTTTATATTACTTGGAACAATTTGGTATACTTGCCAAAAAGTTAACATCATGCTTGTAGATAGGTCTAAAAACAAGATAAAACAAATGATATATTTCTGAATTAATATTATCTATCTATTAAATTGGAGTCCTGAATGGATAAATCCACAGTATTATGCTCTCTCTTGAAACATCTTCTTCTTTATCTCCATCTATAATATTATCCAATCTATAATCTTAGGGTTTTATTTGTAGAGGGAATCTTGGGGAACTTTTGGAAATACAGCAATGCGAAAGACTTTATTGCTAAGTAAAAATTGTGCGTTTTGAATAATTAATTTAATTAATTTGATTTCAATAAAAAAAATAGAATTTGAATAATTAATTTAATTAATTTGATTTAATTAAAAAAAATAAGTGGGTTGGTGAGCTAACCTGACCCACCATTAATTCAACCCGTGTGAGTCGGGTTCTTAGTGAGCCGTGTCAAAATTTGGTTCGCATAAAAAAAATTTCATTTTTTTCCAACCCAACCCGCTTCAAACCCGTGGTGAGCCGGGTTGACTCACGAGTTTCGACCCATTTTTACGGTTACACTAATCAATTTCATTCTAAAGATAACCTTTTCTACAAATATTTGTAATTTTTTATTTACCATTTAATCTTTTATAAGTTGAAAATTAATATAATTGTACAATTAAGCTTGTCATTTTCAAAATCTAAATTTTATCTAAAAAGTTGTTATATTTAAGATGTTCTTATGTTAACTCAGAAAGCTTATGCATTGAACATTTCTAAGAAAAGTGTCAGCATCTTTAGTACAATTCTGCATAAAAAAAACGAGTAAGAAAAAGAAGAGAACAGTGTATATAGATTGAATGTGGACAAGATTTTAGAGAAGTACACTAAGAAGTTCGCAAAATGTACACTTTGGAAAACGTGAAGTTGTGCCTAAAGTTAGTGCATGCTTAGTGTCTCAGAAACTTACTTCTATGAATCTATCCCTCTTACCGTCTAAGCACATCAACCACTGAACCTAATTTTATCTACTTTTCAACTCTGCAAAAGCCCTACACTAAAATAAATAACACCATTCCCATGTAACTCACTAAAGCATGTGTGTATAATTTAATATGAAAACTTTACACCGACACTATTTTTGTAATTAATTGTGGTTAAAAATTTAAAAATAATATGACAGCTTTATTTTATTTAATTATATTTATTTTTGCTCATAAAAAAATAAACCATCATTTTTGTATGCATGAATTAAGACATAATAAACATATTTAACGAAAAACATCGAAGGACCAATACGAAATATATAATGTGGCAGAAAAGTAGCAAGTGCAAAGGAGTTGACTTGCAAAATCTATTGTACTAGTAGTGGACAAATGAAAATGAATTGGAGTAAGTTGGAAACATGTTCAACGTCACATAATAGAAAAATATGCTTTCATACGTATAAATTTTTTATATTTATTTTACACATAATGAATTTTTTTTTAAAAAAAAATTGTTTTTAATTTTTCTTTTTACATATTTTAGATTATTGTATACACTTCAAATATTTCATTCATTTATATAAAATCGATTCTCACTCCTGCTATATATATTTAAATGTGCTAAACTTTT